ACTGCCGTTTGCACACTGACTGTCATTGCAGCTCCAAGCACCACCGTTGACTTGTCCCAACTCCAACTACTACGGACGTCGCGACCTCAATTGCTGGTGTTGTTCTTCATCTAGCGAAGTAACTCATCTGAGATCCAGACGCACTAGAGCTCGATTCTGCTGACCAGCGCTAGTGCCAACGCCAATGCTGACTCGCTCGCATCCATCGACGTACTGCGCTACAAACCGACTCTGGATGCTGCTGTGCTGTGGCTTAGTTCGCACCTACCCTGCGCACGGCCACCAGCTTGCACGACCTACGTGCTTTGTGTCCGACATCTGCGACGTCACTGTTGCGTCTAGTCGTAACCACTTACACATTTTTTGGGAAATCACTTGCTTTAGTTGTGAAAATTTACACATTTTTGAGTTGTTGAATATTTTAAGGAACAAACTTACTCGCCATTCTGTGTTAACTATCCTGGGTTTTGTGTCATAACTTAAGCAATTTTGTGAAAGCTTACGTAATTTTATGAAAGTGTTCTCACAAGACTTACTCGTATTTGTGATCACTTACGTATTTTTTGGAACATCATTTACGTCAGCTGTTAAAACCTATTCTATTTTGTGAAATAAAAGTATTCTTCAAGGACTTATTCGTGTTTGCAATCACTTATGCATTGTTTGGCTAATAACTTACGTCAGTTGTGAAAACTTACGCATTTTTGTATTGTTAAAGGTTTTTAGTAACAAACTTACTTGAATTTTGTGTCCACTTTCACATTTTTGTGAAATCCAAGTTTCCACCATTGACTTACTCGTATTTGTGTTCACTTACGCATTTTTGTGAAATTCCTTATGTGATTTGTGAAAATTTACGCATTTTGTGTTGTTCTAAATTTTTGGTAACAAACTTACGCATTTTTGTGAAAACTTACAAAGTTTTGTGAAATCAGTTATGTGATTTGTGAAAATTTACGCATTTTTTGTTGTTCTAAATTTTTTGGAACAAACTTACCTGTTTTTTGTGTTCACTTACGCATTATTGTGAAATCCATTACGTGATTTTTGAAAATTTACGCATTTTGTGTTGTTTTAAATTTTTTAGAACAAACTTACACGTTTTTATGTTCACTTACGCATTATTGTGAAATTACTTACATGATTTATGAAAATTTACGTATTTTGTGTTGTTTTAAATTTTTTGGAACAAACTTACACTTTTTTATGAAAACTTGGGCATTTTTGTGAAATCACTTACATGATTTGTGAAAACTTATGCATTTTGTGTTGTTCTAAATTTGAGAAAATATCATTTCGCCCCCCTACTTTCATGCATTTTTTATTTGACCCCCAAACTTCAATTAATATCAATTTTACGCCTAAACTTTCAAAATTTTGATCAATTTGGCTCATGCCGTCACTTGGACGGAATGTGCTGATGTGGAGGGCAAATTAATTTTTAGGGTATAGTTTGAGGAGCAAATTGATTTTTAATTTGGGGGCCAAATTGATTTTTAAAGTATAGTTTGGGGGGTAAAATAAAATTTCAAATGAACTTTGGTGCCATGTTATCACATTCCATCCAGTTGTACACAGAATGACACAGTAGGGGTCAAATTGATCAAAATTTTGAAAGTTTAGGTGGAAAATTGATATTAATCAAAGTTTGAGGGTTAAATTGAAAAACGCGTGAAAGTTTGGGGGGTAAAATGATTCCTCTCTAAATTTTTTGGAACAACTTACACATTTTTGTGAAAACTTCCGCATTTTTATGAAATCACTTAGGTGATTTGTGAAAACTAACGCATATTTGTGTTATTCCAAATTTTTGAAACAAACTTACGAGTTTTTGTGTTCACTTATGCAGTTTTGTGAAATCACTTATGTAATTTGTGAAAATTTACATAGTTTGTATTGTTTTAAATTTTTGGGAACAAACTTGTATATTTTTGTGAAAACTTACGCATATTTGTATTGTTCTAAAATTTTGGGAACAAACTTACATGTTTTTGTGTTCAGTTATGCATTTTTGTGAAATCACTTACGTAATTTGTGAAAAATTTATGCATTTTGTGTTGTTCAAAATTTTTGGGAATAAACTTATGCGTTTTTGTGAAATCACTTGCGTGATTTGTGAAAACTTACGCATATTTGTGTTGTTCTAAATTTTTTGGAACAAACTTAGGCTTTTTTGTTAAAACTTATGCAGTTTTTTGAAATCACTTACACGGGTTGTAAAAACTTATGCATTTTTGTATTGTTCTAAATTTTTGGAATAAACTTATGCATTTTTGTAAAAATTTACGCATTTTTGTGAAAAATACTTACATGTATATAATATAATCCATTATTTTAATACGTTTACCTGTAAGTTGACCTGCCTAGCAGGTAAACAATCACTACAACAAAACTAACTATTTATAGCATTATGTTTACGGCATGCGTTAAATGTATGTCGTAATTAGTACATTCTACAACATTTTTTTTTTTTTGCAAGCCGTTAATGTTTTGTCAATAACAGTATACATACCATGTAAGTCGTTAATTCATATATTTATGGCATGCAAAAGTATGCCATAAAAATTGTATGTTTTTACGACTTAGTCGTAAAATATTTGCATTTAAGACGACATACATTTCATATTGTAAAATATTATAACTTTACACGACATGCTAATGAATGTCGTGAAAATTTTGACCAAAAAAAAAAATTCAATCCAATTTTTTTATGACATGCAAAAGTATGCCGTAAAAAATTATATATTTTCACGATATACAAAAATACGTTATAAAATATTTGCACTTAAGACAACATATATTTCATATTGTAAAATATTAAATTTTATATTTTTTTGAATTTAGTGATTTTTTTAGAAAAATAAAAATATTTTCCTTCTAAATATATGTAAATTATTCGAATTAAAAAGTAAAAAAAAATTATTTAAAAACTTACACCACACTCCCTCTCATTCTAAATCCATACATATTTTGGTCCCAAACCCTCTCATTCTCTAGAGAAACTATATTTTAATTGTAAATAATAATAAAAAAAACTTAGATGTTCTTAAATATTTATAAATTTCTAGTAGATATAAGAAATTTTTATTTTTTTTCCCAATAAACTAGATATTCTATTTATAATTTAGATTTTTTTAATACAAAAATAATTTATAAACTTATACATAAATCTTTTTGTCTAAAATTTTCTACTCCTATTTTTTTTATTATTAATATTATTAAAATTATACATTCTTTGCATCCCAAATTTTTTATTTATTAATATTGTCATGGTTTGCATCCCACTGAACATATGCTAATTCTAATTTGAGGTATACGAAATCAAGTTAATCTCTGTGTAATATTAAATAAAAAATACTTATTATATGACAAAAATATTTTATTATATTAAAATTTATGCTCATATTAGAGAGGTTAGTTAAACAATATTAAGAATTTTAATTATTAAATATTCTACATAATATAAGATCTACATTGTATAAGTGTCACTCCCATATGACTATTGGAAAAATTACTCATAGGTCCCATATTAGAAAATATTACTCCATGTAGTCCTGAGTGTTTTTTTATAAATCATTTAGTCCTTTTTTACATCAAAACATCATCATCAAAACAACATCAAACATCATCATCAAAACAACATCAAACATCACAACATTAATCATCAACATTAATCATCAACAACGAACAATCGATGCAAATTAAACACAACAAATTTACATAAATAAACCCTAGAATTCAAAACAGTATAGAACTATGTTCCAAAAAAAACATCGATCAGATTCAAAAGCAAGAAGCTTTGGAGTCAATAGTCATGAATATCAACAAAACTAGGGTTTCGAGCAGATTAATCGTCAAAACCAAAGCACTTGTGCACAATGCTACAAAAGTATGAATATGAGTTTGATTATTAATAGCAGGACAAAGAACACGATAAGAAATCAAATTGGCAGACCTAACAGCAGATTCGAGATCGAGATAAAAAACCCCCAAGGCGGTGCTCTGTTCCGAAGGTTTTGACGATGTGTATGAGTTCCAATCGGCCAAAAGAGACGATGATGAAGACGACGACAATGAAGACGTCAATAGATGCGGTTGTTGCCGATCTTCCTCGCCGCCGCCGACTGAAAACCACTTCTGCATTTTCGTTTTGTTGTTGGTTTCGAGCTCTGGTTATGGATTTTCAATAATGAAGATTCAAAGAATTAAAGAGAATTGATAATGTTTGATGAATAATAACAGTTGATGAATAATGTTTGATGTTGAAGAATAATGTTTAATGTTGGAGAATAATATTTTATTTTGATGTTTAATCGTTATTTAAAAAATTGTTTAATCGTTATTGTAATGTTGTTTTGATGATGATGTTTGATGTTGTTTCGATGATGTTACTCATAAATCTGATGTTTGATGTTTGATAAATAATGTTTGATGTTTGATGAATAATCCTAATGTTTAATGGTTCAGAATCTGTGTTTGATGTTTGATGAATAATCTTAATGTTTAGTGGTTGATGCTTGATGAATAATCCTGACGTTGCTAATGTTTGATGTTGGATGAATAATGTTTGATGTTTGAAAAGAAGGGAAATCATAAAAAGGCCTATAGTAAGCTTCTTGAGAAATAGGACATATTAGTCCAACAAAAAACCTTCGGGACAAAATGGGTTAACATTCCCAAATTTGAGATTTATTGGTGCTTTCCCCATGACTATTTGGTATAATATTTAATCATTTATTTAGAGTTTTTGACATTTTTTATATAAGTTATATATAATAAAATATTTTTATGTTATATGATTAATGTATCATTTTTGTCTAATTTTAAAAATAAATTAACTTTAAAAATAAATTATGGAAAACTTAAAATTTGATATACCCTTCCATGTTTTTACCTATTGTTCCTGATTTAATTTATGTTTTTACCTATTGTTTCCTGATTTAATTTCAATTATACCCAAAAACACATATTAATTATTTATTATTATCCTCATAGTCATCTCTATATCTCTCCTAAATTCCTCCAAAATTCAGCCGGAGCTCCAAAGCTTCTGCTTACTAAAACCAGACTCTCACTTTCACAACCAAATTAGCAAACATTTTCAGAGGGACAAAGCTCATCAATGATCGTCTTTTCATCTCAGACTCTCTCTGTCACTGCTATTTCAGTTCTCTCTTCGGTAATTTCACTATTGATTCTGTGTTTTTTTGTTGTTTTGATCTCAATCTCTACTTATTTTCACAAGTATAGATTGATTAGGTCGTATTTTTCAATATCAGCATTATCTTCAATTCTTGATTCCTTCAATTCCGTCTCCAATTTTATTTCAATGTTCTTAATTCACTCTCTCTCTCTCTCGCTCTCTCTTAATCAAGAATTGATTCCGAGCCACAGTGATGTTAGTTACACGAGCACCAATCGATTGATTCCGAGCTTGGAGTTCGATTCTGATTCTGAGCCCCTTCCACGGATTTGATTTCTTTGTGAGTTTCTAACTTGTTCAGTTTCCTCTCATTCTAGAAGCGTTCGTATTTGATGCAATTGGTGTGTTAGAAATGACGGTGAAATGATTGTCAATGATGGATTGGAATTAATTATGTGATTTTTTTGTGATGTTTCTTTGTGATTTGATTGGATTAATTTTGAAAGCAAGTGTCTTCATTCAATGTTTGTTAACCATTTCTGATCTGAGTTTTGTCTTCATTTTGGTTCTCCGGAGAAATTTAGAGTATGAATTGTGACTTATTGAGTTCCTCATGAAAATCAAACTTGCATTCATCTTTGTAATTTCATATGGTACTCTCAATTCTGGTCGGAGAAAGGATCATAACTGAAACCTCTTTAATTCAGACTACACAGGCATGCAACATTTCATATTGTTTCAAGCAAGGGCCTGTTTGATTGTGTTCCTGTTTTCTGTTTTTATTTTTCAGAAAACATAGAAATAGTCCTTGACAAACAATTCCCAAAAAATAAATAAATGAAAGGAGAGGGAAAGAAAACTTGACCACTACTGTTAATCTTTTATTGAAACACAATAGACATAGAGAATTCCTAAATAATACAAACTGCAAGCAAGACATTAACATGCTAACAAGCAACATAACAGATTTTACTACGGGGGCAAGTCAGGATAGCTCCAGGTCTCCTTTTCTATATGATAGACATATGTATAGTAAGTTAGAGAGTGTGCATTACAGAGGTAGATTTGAAGTGAAAATATGCATGTAGATAAGAGTAGACACAGTTTTGTGAAGGCCATAAAATCAAGTTTTCAGGTTTTAGAGCACATTCTGGAAGTGAAAAGGAGAACTAAGTAAGAACTGATGGTTCATATTTGATTCATCACAGTATACTTAAAATCTTTTTCTCTAAAATTTTTTACTTCAATTTTTATTTACTTATTAATATTGTTAAAGTTACACATTCTTTACCTTCCACATTTTTTTTTTTAATTTTAATAATATGCTTGTTTTCTGTATTGACGACTGCTGCAAAGAGGGCTTAAAATATTTTAAAAATCACGAACTAATCTTTTAAGATAAGAAGTTTTTTTAAGAACTATGGGGAAATATGCAATGGTAGAAAAACACAATAAAGGGAAATAATGAAAAAATACATCATCTAGACCATAAAACATAGCTGCAAGGTCAAAGAGAAACAATACCTCAGTAGCATGATTTTAAGGAAGAATTAAGTATATTGTCACTCTAAAATCAATTTCAAGGAAGAACACTTTTAGTTTAAAGTGGTATATGATTGTATACCAGTTTGAGAAATTAAAGCTGTGTTTGGATCTTGGATTTGTGGTGGAATTTGTAGACGGTAAGAAAAAGGAAGGAGAAAGTGGAAAAATAAAATAAAAATAGGCGTCGTCACATTTCCTTTCTGTTCATGTATTGAACGTCTGTGCTTCGATTCTGTTAGGGTGCACTCATTGATGTCAAAATTACTTCAAACAAAATATGGATACTCAAAGAAGATGGACTAATAATGCTGAGTTTGTTTAATACAACTGATAATGGGTAAGTATTCCAGGAATGTTACTCATTGACCAATGATATTTAAGAGTGATGCTTTGGCTTTACCTTAAATTTCATTATGTTAACTGTGAAAGTTACATTAATTTGTAGGCATACTATAGCACTTTTAGGTAAGTGGGACGTACCCATTTTATTTCTTGCTTGGATTTTTGAACTCTGAACTTGGTGCTCTGATACTTTACTTGACTGTCAGAGCCGCATCCTTCTTTTTTTTTCTTTTTTCTTTTTTTTTCCCTTTCAACTTGGTAAAAGTTCGTATTCACTACCAAAAAGAATTAGATGGACAATTTTTGCCTTGTAGCGTTTTTTTTCTTCTCCATAACTGTGTAAGTACTGGAAAAGGGTAGTGCACTTGAGTTGTTGCTTGCTGTGATTTTGCAGGTATCAATTCATATGTGTTAGTTCTTGATAATGATTTGTATCCCAGTAATTGCTACTCTTGAATGTAAATGTGAATTAAGTTAACACGCATATATATTTTCATTTGTGTTTTAATTGATCTAATGGACTCTATTTAATGTTTATGCTTAATTGATCCTGCAATTTTGATGTTAGGGGGGTAGCACAATGCTATTCTTTGCAGGAAGCAGTTGTTGCTGATCAACTATTTCAAAGTGCTGAACATTCTTCAGATGATCTTCTTGTCTTCTTTAGTGAAGAACTAAGGGACTTATTAGAGAGCCAGTTGAATTAGAAATTAGTGAATTTTATCATTTGGATACTTTTTGGATGTTTACAGTCGTATTTTAGAGATTAGTGAATCTTATGATTTGGATTTTTGTTTAGTTTGTATGTTTGAGGTTGTTATCAGCTTGATATGATAGAAGTTGAGGATGAAAGTTAGTATGCAGGTTATTTGGTGTATGGATATTAAATTTTTTTTGCTTGCTTCATAGTTGCTGCTCTTGCTTGGTTTTTTAACAGGTTGCATTTTATAAGCTACTGTTTACATACTGTTAGGCAAGGTTATATATACGGCATAAGTATATATACTATATATTAAAAATAACCTTCTATGGCATATAAAATTATGTTATGAAAAGTGTAATGATTTATGACATGCAAGAAAATGCCTTAAAAGATAATATATGACATACAAAGTATGTCATAAATATATTAAAAATTACCACCTACAGTATATAAAATTATGTCGTAAAAAGTGATGATTTATGACATGCAAGAAAATGTCGTAAAATATTATATATGGCATACAAAATATGCAATAAATATATTAAAAATAACTTTCTACGGCATGCAAAATTATGTCATGGAAAGTCTGATGATTTATGGCATGTCAAAAATGTCGTAAAAAATAATATGCGACATACAAAGTATGTCATTAATGTTTAATTTATTACTTTTTATAACTTTACTTGCATGTCGTAAATGACGCTCAATTTTTCACGTATGTCATATAACAACATTTGTGTGCATGCCATGAAAGAATTTTTATGACATGCATTGCAAGTCGTAAAAATTCAATTTTGTTGTAGTGAATGTATAAGTTCTAACACAAACTTATATAACCCAAACAATGAAAATATATAAGGAATCATGTATGCCCCGCATGTACCTAAGATTTGTCGAATTAAAATTGATAATTATAATAAAACCGTCATAGTATTCTTATCACTTTAGCTTAGAGTTCCGTTAGTTCATTTTTGGATAAATTACAAATACATCTCTTGAGATTTACTTAAAACACGAATTGTCCCTGTGGTTTGGAAAATTACAAATACGTCCATGTCAAAAAAATTTATTTAATAGAATTAATTGAAGAAGTGAATTTCTAACTGTTTACCTATGCAATAATAAAATTATCTGAATTATTAATTGAAATAAAATTTTAACATTATTAAAAATTGTTAATTAATTTGATTATTTATTTATAAAATGACCTATTTGTTATGAAATTGAAAACCTTGAGGGGCATAATATAATTTTTAGAACTACATAGGATAATTTGTAATTCAAGTAAATCTCAAGGGGTGTGTTTGTAATTTGCTCTTAATTTTTACGCAATCAGTCATCTTGATTTGTGTGCACTAATTCTCAAGTGGACTTGAAACTTGAGAGGCAGACGATATTTCAATTAGTATATTGCATTTTGAAAATTTATATTCATCTTAATTGTTTAAGAATTGCACTACATTAACAACCTCAATTTTATCTGGGACTGATTCAATTCAAAATTCAAGAGATTAAGTTTTCAAGCTCTGTACATGTTATTCTAATGTTAATAGAGTATATATATTAAGTTAATTTTAAAGTCATTCTAGTGAATTAAGGATTTTAGTGTACAAACGTCTTGATTTACTTGCATCTAGGCCGATTGAATTTAAAATTTGAGAGATGAACTCTCCAGCTTGGTACATAATATTTAAAATTATTCTGAAATTTTGGGAATTTAATTGTACAGAAAAGGAATTAAAATTGTATCATTTTCATTTTGGGGCTAAAAGTCCTAGGAGGGAAAATTACATCTTTGACCCCACTTTGATGGCTGATTTTATTCCCTCTCCGTGTAGTCAATTCTTACTTTCTTCGTAGAGTTGATTAGTCCAAGGCACCGTGTAGTTATATCCCTAGTCAATCACAAATCATTATATTCATTTGTATTTTTTTAGGGAAAACTTCACTTACTCCCCTATGGTTTAAGCCATGTGCGGATTACCCCTTGACGTCTACCATTAACGGTATTAACTGTGCACTTTACTCCATCAACTACAGAGAGATTATGTGGTGATATTCAAACATCAGGGGATAATCTGCACATGGCCTAAACCATAAGGGTGTAAAGTGAAGTTTGCCCTATTTTTAATTACTGAACACAATCTTAAATTCTATATAATCCACTAATCACAATATATAAAAAATACCACATAACACTGTTCTTAAACCAACCAAAAAAGGAAAATGAGCCGTAGCTCGAAAATCTTGGCTCGAAATTGGCTCGAATGTCGTTTTGGGCGTTTTGGGTGGTCTGAAACAGAGGAAAAAGAGGAAGAGAAGAGAGGAAGAAGAGAGGAGAAGAGAAAGAAGAGGGGAAGAGGGAATAGAGAGAAGAGAGGGCCCCTCCGCTTCTGCCGTCGTCCGAGCCCCTCCGTTTCGTCGTAGCACCAGCGATCGTCGCAGCACCACCGCCATCGCCTCCGGTCCCGCTGAGCCCCTCCCCTTCGTCGCAGCACCACTGCCGTCGGCCGAGCCCCTCCCCTTCCTCCTTCCTCCTCCTCCTCCTCCTTCTCCTCCTCCTTCCTTCTCTTCTCCCTCTATGATTATTCCCCCCTCCAGTCCTCCTCCTCCTCCTCATCCTCCTCATCCTCCTCCTTCCTTCTCTTCTCCTTCTCTACTTCTGAAATTGGATTCGAGCCAATTTCAAGCTCGACAATTCGAGCTACGTAGCAGTTCCGTAACTTCCCCTTTGTAGTCTTATCTTTTACACCATTAATTACACATCTTACATCATCATCAAGGATGTGACTCTAATAAGCCATTTTGATTTTTTATCGAGTGCAAAAAGAAAAGTGAATGAATTTGTTTTTTTTTTTGTTTTTTTAATATTTGTAACTTTTTATAAAAAAAAAAAATTAGTGACTTTTTTACTTTTGAATTAAAATATGAAGTTCCCAAACAAATCCAAACCCAATTTTTAAAAATCAAACTTATTTAAAACAGTTAGACATTGTTAGAGTTCATTTGGAAATTGACTGTTTTAATTGACTTTTTAAAAAAAAATTACAAAAAAGACATGTACGAAAATAAAGAGAGTGATATGGTAACTTAGTTTATTTTAACCAAAAAGTCACTCCCCAAACAAATATATTAACGTAAATTGCATAATTGTTTAGGAAAATGCTCCGGTCTGCAATGCATGTCGTATACAACTTTACCACAAAATTACATAAGTTGAATACCAAGTCACGTAAGTCTATTTATAAAAGTGAACTTACATGAATTTATGTTTAATTATATATTTTTGTGAGATGACTTATGTAAATTCGTGAAAACTTATGCAATTTTATGATAGGATTGCATACGGTGTACATTACATACTAGAAAATTTTTCAGTTGTTTAAAGATATATTTGTGGAATGAAAAGTGTAAAAAACATTTGTAGGTTTCATAGTTTTAAAATAGAACTACATATATATATATATATATATATTTTTGTAAATATATATATGTATTTTTGTAAAAGTTTTCCTCCAATTCAAGATGTAGGAGTTCCTACAACTCAGGTAATGTGGCACAGTGTCACTTTATTTCAAGATGTAGGAGTTCCTACAACTCAGGTAATGTGGCACAGTGTCACTTTATGATTGGCTAAGAGATTATATATTTAAAACTATATATTAATTGGTATATCAATTGGTGCATATATCACTACTATTAAAAATTAGAATCTTAGTTATCATAGGTAACTTATATGTGTATATATATTTGTTTGTAACTATTTTCATAAAATTCCTATCAACAGGTGGATTAATTAGATGATGACACATGGTAGTGAAATCAAAATGAAGTCTTTTAGTAGTCAAGGGGCTACGTGGTGTGAAGAAATTGATCGTGTGCATCAATTGGCTGAGAGGGTCATGAGCTAGTTATTAATTAGTTAATTAGCTTGGTGGACTGATTTATAGGGGACCATATTTTTGAATTGGAAAGCTTTTCTCTATCGATTATGCTCATTAATTGAAGGGAATTTATGTCATGATGTGATTGGAGGTTTAAAAGTGGAGTTGGGTCAAAGATAAAAGTTTAAAGAAGCAAAGGAGGTTGTAAGCAGTTTTCGGCCTTAGTAAAACGTTTTTCTCTGTCAAAGGTAGTGCTAGAGATCATGGTGGACATGTGGCAGCAATGAGGAAGTTGGTTTTGCTTCAAAAAGAAGAACCAAAGAAGGTTGGAAGGTTCAAGAAAGTCAAGGCAGTTTTGAGCAGTTGAATGAAAGTTGATTTGAAGGATCATAGGACAGTGACTAAAAAGAAGGAAGGCATGGCTAAGATTTGGAGCATTATAAAAGCAGTAAAGGAGCAGCGGAGAGGGACATCAATAACAACAACATATCAACTTAGTTCTTAAACTTAGGAGTAGTTTCAATTGTAATTTAGGACTAGTTCGTTTGATTGTAACTTGTACTTTTTTTGAGTGAACTTCAATAATTTCAATCTGAAATTACTTCTGTTTATTCAAATCTACTTTGCTACCATCTGTTGATATAAAAAGTGTGTTCTTTCTTCTTGTTTACTTTGTTACCATTGATCCAAAGAAGTCCTCATTTTTTTGATACATTCGAACCAAAACCACAATTGCCTGATTGTTCATGTTTAAATTGTTCAGTTTGAATTATTGCTTGGTTGTTGTTGATCAAACCCTAGTATAATTTTCACTAAGAATATTTTAATTAAATATTTTTTTTAAAATATAAAATTTAATCTTGATAATTTTTGGACGATCCATCAAGTTGATTTTTATTTTTATTTTTATTTTTTTGCACCAAAAATTTGTTTCACAATTGTATTATATAATTAGTACAAATTGAAAATATACCTACAATAAGCAACATTGTGTGCAGTAGAAAGGAAAAAAAAATTATAAAAAAAAAAATTTAAGTGTGTCTATGTGATTGTAAAATTTTAAAGTTTCGACAAACAGCATAAAGAAAAATAGGGTAAATTACATTTGGCATTCTTGTGCTTTGCACTAAATTTCACTTTGGTCCCTATATAGCGACCCCGGTCTTCTCCCATTTGATTATTGTATCCGGACTTAGGTTCCGTAGATTCTGTCATTTTATAATTGTTGTTGTTGTCCCTTATTTTCTCATTTGGACTTATAGGATGTGTTGGGCAGGTCTGTTTCAGGTTGGTTGGGTTTAGAAACCAAGTGTTGTGGTCCAGAATTTTGGATCTTCGCTCGAGCGAGC